ACTATTGAACTGATTTCACAAACGATTTAGCCCCAACAAACCCTAACCCTAACACGTAGGAAAATTGTGAAATAATCTAAACAATCTCTTATTTTCTCTTAGTATTGACATGTATGTCAAAGTAACCAATCTCCATTATTACCCGTCTCACTCTAAAAAAATTGGCTCGTAAAATAAATTACGGGAACTATTCTAGTTTGATAGATGGAGTTCAGTGAGGTATGAGTATACGACGAAAATGATGTCAAAGCTGAATGATGTGGTATTATCTAAGCTATTTTCTTACTTTCCGACAATTTCATCTTTTTTTACAGAGGTCAAATTACTAAGCTGCTAAGCTACAAAAGAAAGGCTATCAGAATAATAATAGGCGTCTAAGCCTAATGGAAGTGAAAGAAGACACGTAATACAGATTTTGCCACTTACTATGCCAATGTGAAGGCCTGTGCACTCTCATTTTCATTGAATTAGCCACTATCGAGATGCCAAGTGAGATGTTGGCGAGACGTCTGAACGGATGATATCCCGGAATATTGTTGAAAAAATATTTCGGGACATCATCCGTTCGCTTGTTCAACTCCGACTGGAATCCTGCAGACGTTTCGCCAAGATCTCACTTGGCATCTGAAAACACTTCGAACTCTCGGAACGCCAACATTGAAGATGCTAAGTGAGATCTTGGCGAAACGTCTGCAGGATTCCAGTCGGAGTTCAACAAGAGAACTCGGAATATTTTTTCAACATATTTTTCCATCCTTGAATGAATACGTGAACAAGTATGCCATGAATGTTAGTTACTATGGCAACCATTGTTATCGCAGTTGTTTTAAGTGCAATTACAAACAATAGATTTCAACTATTTTAGTATGATTTTATTTATTATTTTTTATCGATTTAGTTCTGATAACATGATAAATAAATGAAAAAACAGTAAAATACCTACAAGTTAATAACCAAAATTATTATTGCAATTAACTACATAATAAGACATTTCAAAAATTTTGTTCAAAATTATGTCCATCTGCTCGAACACAACTATCAAAAACTTGGGTCACTTGTAGGAGAGTCCTTCTTGGCACACGCTGCATTAATTTTGTTAATGAGATCAGCCATATCTTCGATAGGTTCTTCATAGATAACGTTTTTTAGGTAGCCCCAAAGAAAATAATCTGGTGGTGTAATGTCCGGGGACCTCGCCGGCCACCTTACCGGTCCATTAGTACCAAACCATCTATTGGGATATTCTCGGTTCAAATACCTCGTTACTATTTGGGCATTATGTGCAGGCGCTCCATCCTGCTGTAGCCACATATTCATTCTAGTGTAAAGAGGCACTTCTTCTAATAGTTCCGGAAGTGTAGTTTGAAGAAATCTTAAATAGCGATCTGCATTTAAAGTTCCTTCGTAAAAGTAACGTCCAATAAGGAATCCATTTAATATGCCGCACCAAACATTGATACTAAAAATTCGTTGGTTACCTCTTTCTGTAATCCAACGAGGATGGTTTTCGGACCAAAAACGACAGTTGTGTCTATTAACGATTCCATTATTTTGAAATCGACTTTCGTCGCTCCATAAAATTTTCGAGAGAAAATTTGCATCTTGGCTATACAAATCGGACAATGTCGCTAAGAAATACATTCTTCTAGCATAATCGCCTGATTCTAGTTTATGAACTAGTTTACTTTTGTACGGGTGAAAAGAGTTTCTATGTAGAATTCTCCACGAAGAACTTATGGTAACACCGGTATTTTCTTTTATCTCTGATAGGGATATCTTGGGGTTATTATCAACCTGCTGAATTACAGCAGTAGTATCTCTTTTAGGTTTTATGAAGCTGCCATATTCTCTTAAGTTTTTGCATAAACTTGAAAAGGTTTTTGCATCGGGGACTCTTCTATGCGGATAACGCCGTGCGTAAACTCTTTTTGCTTCTCTACAATTGCATCTGCATTCTCCAGACACCAGTAACATGTCTACTTTTTCCTCATTGCTAAATTGCACCATTTTCACATAATAATTCTTAGTTTTTTTTAAACCGAACAAATTTGAATATTTCTTGTAACAAAATGTGACAATTTTTTGATACAGCAATAACAACTTACGTTTGTAATTGCACTTAAAACAACTGCGATAACAATGGTTGCCACAGTAACTAACATTCATGGCATACTTGTAAAAATAAGCGTTAATCACATTTTTTATTAATCAAGAAATGTTTACTTTAAATCGGTATAACTTAGAAACGGGTAAAATAAATAAGTTTGAGTAAATAACAAAAAAGTTTTTAAATAATATGTACTTTTGTATGCGCGTATTTCCAAAGTCTCTGCAATCGAATAATTTTTTGCAGGCGTCGAATTTTTTAAACTTTAGGAAATATCTACTTGACTCCACACTTTGACTACTTTTTACATAAATTAAATATTTCTTTTCGTTTTGGACTTATTGGCGTGCGGAGTTTTAAGTGAAAAACCCTGTATATATATATATATATATATATATATATATATATATATATATATATATATATATATGATGACACTATAGTCCGGGATATCATCCGTTCGCTCGTTGAATTCCGACTGGAATCCTGCAAATCCTGCATCCGACTGGAATCCTGCAGACGTTTCGCCAAAATCTCACTTGGCATCTTCAATGCTCGCGCTCCGAAAACACTTCGAACACTGGTTTTTTCGGAGCGCGAGCATTGAAGATGCCAAGTGAGATTTTGGCGAAACGTCTGCAGGATTCCAGTTGGATGCAGGATTTGCAGGATTCCAGTCGGAGTTCAACGAACGAACGGATGATATCCCGGAATATAGTGTCATCACATTTTTCCATCCGTGAATCAATACGTGAGAATATATATATATATATATATATATATATATATATATATATATATATATATATATATATATATATATATATATATATATATATATATATATATATATATATATATATATATATATATATATATATATATATATATATATATATATATATATATATATATATATATATATATATATATATATATATATATATATATATATATATATATATATATATATATATATATATATATATATAAAGCTCTATTGCTAAGAAGCCAGCGACTAACATTTTATTTCTAATTTCAGCAACAAGCCTTGTAAAAACTGCGTTCAAAATTTAGCGGACTCTCTTCCATCTTTATGTTAGTTTTGGTTTCTTGAATAGCAAAATTGCACCTCGAGCGATACTTTAATTTACCTCGTATTTAAAAGATCAAATTACGAGTTAGTATAAAGTTCTGCGGCGTTTTTGTCTGCAACAGAATTCGCATCGTGTACCAAATTATTTACTTTGGGAAGTTTCGCAAAATCCGACATATTTCCCTCCTAATTAACACGTTAAACTTTCGCCTTAAAAGGGAAATCTCCGCTTCCAATTCTGAAAGAAACGGGGATATTTTATTTAAAATTAAAGCCCACTTTCAGCGTCTTGCGGTGCGGTAGTTATCGTGCTGCCAGATTCCTAATTTATTTTTATTTAATTTGATTTCGCTTACTCGGTTCTGTTTCAAATTTTGGAACCGCGGAAATTTTATATTAAAATTCTCGAAATGTTATTAAAGGAAAGTCGAAGGCATTCAGTCGATTTCTGTATTTCTTTTGCTTTAATTTATGCCATAAAAACCGGAACTCCTTTCAGTTTCTAAATTCTACCCTTTCGCCGTTATTTTTTATGCCTTTATTTAGGGTAATTTTTGATTTATTCGAAAATCGTACAAACACAAGATATTTTCTACTTCATGCCGTATATTTACCGGACATTCCATCCTGGCGCTCACTTTATATGCTTGGGGCTAGCAAAAACATCCCATTCAAGCTATGATTCGATTCATCTGCTTTTCATAGTACTTACGTTCGGACCGACGGACCATCACTAAATTGAATTTCGTTTATGGGAATAAATTTTTACTTTAAATCAGTCCTACTTTACCTCCGATCGACGTTCGTACTCGCTAATCAAGAGGTTAATAACTCCAGTTTAGTTATCGAATGGACAAAGTTTTAAAGTCAGTCGCTCTAATTGGGACAAAATTAAAGGATGTCGAAAAAAAAATGCCATTTTATATCTTTTAATTCGGTTAACAAGCTTCCGATGAAAAAAAAAAACGTGTGTCGCAACTAGACAATTAAAGTTTATGAGAAGCTCTCGACTCGAATACGAACGAATCGCCCGCCATATTTTTCGTCCATCTTGTTAAAAAATTGAAATTTTCACCGATTGAAAGCGCACACCATATTCCAGCCTTTTGCGGTAAACAAACATTTATTTTTCCCGGGGAAAAGTAAATTATTCCGGCATAATAAATCAGAATATTTCCTCTTTTTAGTTTTCCGAACAAGTATTACATTATAACGTACGTACACTGTTTCTTGTTTCATGCATGATATTAAGCAAACAGGTGTGCCAACTGAATTTAAATTAAACAGCTTTGATTTAATACTACATTTGCTCATAGCTACAAACGCAAAAAAAAAGATCCACTTTGGTATAAAAGAGCTTTTTTAATCAGAAGATTTTGAAAATAATTTTCCTGAAAATGGGTTAGTTGTGATGCATAAAAATGTTTTCTCGTCTTTCCTTTTAAATAATAGTCACAATATCGCGGAATAAGAAACCTTCGGTGATTTCAATGTTTGATTTGATTGAGAATTTTTTCTGTTGCTCATCGAATTATTTGCTTATAATATCAGCAATCTTCGTTATTCACATTTTCCACAACTTTTGTAAAAAGAATTTAATTTTCGATATCCATTCTCTTTTACAAAATATCGCTAATTTAAAATAACTAAACTCAGTTCCAGGCGTAGATTTTAATTATGGTTTTCTTGTACATTTTTAAAAAACAATTGAGAATTCATAATGAATGATAAATGAGCCGTAACGAAACATAAATTAATTGCTAAATTGTCCGTACCAAACATCAAATATTGTTTCAGCTGTCACAGAAGAACCGGAATTCACAGACGTAATTGAAAATATCACAGTAGCGGCAGGTCGAAATGTCAAGTTTGCCTGTTCCGTAAAGAACCTAGGGACTTACAAGGTAAGCAAATACTCATACTCTATTCATTACTCGATTTCGTTTTCTGTCTCTCTATGTCTCCCTCTGTTCATCTAGACCCCGTCAATTTCGCTCGTCAAAAACACAGTTCATCAGATTAATTAACTGCCTTTCTCTTAGTTCAACAAGAACGAAAATTAAATAAAACGGAGCAGTTTTATATTTGTTAGTGATTACCCTAAGATATTTTACTAACGGAGGCGAAATTTTAAACCTTAAATGCGTATCCCTGGGAAAACAATACTCTATGCATACAAAATTTCGTTTCACCGGGATCAGTGCGATTTTCATTCTTTAATATTAAAATATATACAAACAAGTGCTTTAATCTGTTTGATTTCTCATACCGCAATGCGTAATTATGAGATAGAATGATGCCCGGAGGGCCCCCGAACTAAGGGCTGGTATATAAGTTATGGATTTGATAAGAATTTTGTACGTGACTAAGAATAATTGTAATATTCGCCGAATACTAAGGCGATTAAAAGTTTCGGTGGAAAGTTAACCAACGGGGGCAATTTTCGCCGCAGCCTTTACGAGGAGGTATTTACTTAATTCCTTATTTTGTTCCTCAAAATGCCCCGCCGCTGTAATTTATGTACATTTTTGTTGCACACTAAAAACCGTCATGACAGCGTTATTTTTGGGATAAATTGTTTACAATCGAAACTAATAAAATTGCCAAAGACTTCTCTCAAAGCTGAATCCGAATTTTACGCGAAATGAGACTTAACAGCTGCGTGTCATACAAAATAAAGACCACCCAATATTAAACAATATACGGCGTGTCCCTTATATAAATATATATTTGTGTTGATTACTATTTACTTGCTTAAAAAATATATGCTTGATAATTCTCCTAGTGTGAATAATAAAATGGAATTTTTACATAACCTAAATAAGGAAAAGTTGTTAGAGATAACAAAATTACATTCTTCAGCAAATTTATATTTTTTTGTGTAAACCATTTTGCAATATCTGTAAAAACAAAGTTTTGGGTGAATGTTGGATCTGTTTTTATTTAAATGTTATTTACTCAATACCGAACAAACAACTTTTCCTATATTTTATTATATTCTATTATAATCTAAATATTATATATTGTTTTTTCAATGTTTTTAACAATAGACGCTGTCTTACAACTTAACAAATATCGTGCGTTTTTTCTAAAATTGTTGGTGCAACAATATGTGTAATTTTACCTAATAGTTGATCTTGATATCTTCTTTTTCTAAGTAGTGCTCTTGATTGATTAATTTACTTCAATATCAGTAATAATACCATGTATGGAAAAGCCTGCCTGTCCTGACTTATTATTCATACGGCGTCATGTTATTCTGTTATCATTTTCGATACCAAAGTAAATTAATTGTTTTTTTCTCCGATTATCTTAAATGGGCACATTAAGCTACCTTGTTTTAATAATAAAGTACTTTATTTGTTAGCCAGTTCAATACCACTCATTATTTCATTGGTTTGAACAGTTATCAGAAAATGCTAAATACAAAAATTGTAAGGACTACTAGAGTGTACAATTTAAAATTATTTTAAAGTATACAGGGTGTCTCAAAAAAGCGCAACGAATAAAACATTTTTTAATTTTATTTTGAATTTCTTTTAAAATTTTGCAACTTTTTTATTAATAATACCTAAATATGATAGTTTTTCCAATATTTTCAATTTTCTTTAAATAATAAATAAAATTTGAATTAGATGCTACAGGGTGTTAAAAATAGGATAATTTATTTGTAGTAATAGGTGTTTCATATTATTTACTTTTTTTGTGAATTTAAAATTTGGCTGTTATTTTCAAAAAGTTCAAGAATTTCAAAACGAATTCAAAACAAAATTTTAAAAATACTTCCATTTAACAAAATTCGTCACGCCACCAATCTTTACAATTTTTGTTTTTATCATTTTCTCATAACTTTTAAGGCGATAATAAACTGTACAAACGCTTATTAAATATTCACATAAACAAAGCCCAAAATCCATCGTGGGAGTGAGCACAGATCATAAACAAAACACATTACATACTTCCGTGTTTGATTAATTAAAATTCTTTTTAATGCATATCCAAAATTTGAGCATTAAAAATATTTCCCCGGTTTTTTTCATCTCCCCATTCTTCGTTAGTCGAGAAATGAAATTTTAATTTTATAACTAAAATAAAAGATTCCGGTTCCTGTTTACTTCGGCAAGAAAAACTGGCTTTTTACAGCGCGCACTCAACTAAATTACTGCTCGGGGATAACAGTTTTTGTAAGGGTAAATTTTAATTGCCTTATTTTCCATTATCTGACAGCAATTTCGTATTGCTAAAGGAAAGTGTCGAAATCGAAATTTAAATTTTGGTGCATTATAATTAATTGCCGTTTTGTTACTTTGAAACGTCTTAACAAACAGCAAATGATAGTGTGGCATGCGGATATCAAAATTAGAATTTTGATATCCGTAAATTGGACTTATTTTTGGTTATTTTTTATTCTATTTTCGGGGCACAAACGTTCCTCATTGTTGGTTACAATTTTCATTAAGCTATTTACAAATTTTGAAACGACCGGTCTTTTCCATTCGCAATACAGTTTGCAACGAACTTTTTTCCCATTGAAATAAAACGTTTCTCGAACTTTCTTGATTTTGAATGAAGTGATGCTGCCCGCGTTCCATGTTGATTAGCTTTTCAACAATAATTCGCCGACTAATTTAAATGAAATCAGTGCGCTTCGGATTTACTTTCCGGATATGTTCCTGCTTCTTCCTTGAATTGCGTTAGTTTAGACGTTAATTCGACGGAATTTTGTCTAGCTGAGTTGTATCGTCCCCTAACAAACGAAAAGGTATTTTAATTTAAATTCATTTCGCAGTGAAAATGTTCATTTCGAGGCCTCCTAACGTCATGAATTTGGAAACTCATTGTATTTATTTATATGAGGGAAGAGTTAATATTGTTCGATATATTTTCTGACAGCTGGTAATCGTAATTTTGCTAGACGGTATATTCACGGATCAGACCATTTAAAAATTACATAAAAACAATTAAGAAAAACAACAAAATCTACATAACTAAAAGCAATCTAAAAATAAAGTGTTTATAATTAACAAATAGTCCAAAGGGCCCGAAGAAAACCATTATGGACAATCAATTGTAGATTTGATGGGTGGATAAATTGTAGATCTATCTCTCGTTTGTTAGGTTTTCAAAATTCAAGCACATGGAGTACTTTACTCATTACAGTATCAATATGGGGCAAAAAATAAAAATTGCAGCTCAACAAAACACCCAGATCGATGACAGGATGCACACAGTCCAGCGGACTACCAATAATATGATAAATACAATAATAGAAAACTCTGATATCCATACCATTAGGCCGACGCCATAGTCAATCCGTCAACGTCCTTCGCAAGGCAAGACAATGTATGAAGCCAGAATTGATGTCGTTAATGAATAAGCTGAGAAGCAGGCACACCAGTAAGATAACGTCTAATTCAACAAAAAAGAGAGTCTTTAAGATCCAATCTCTCAAGTTTCAGTGGAAGCATATGATGTGCACCTTTTCACCCCTCTCCAAGGCGTTTGTTGAACTTATTCATTACTAAACATTGCTTAATATTTTTCCAGTTTCCTTAACCATTGAATTTACAAAAATAATACAAATCACCCATTATTAGTTTCACAAAACTAAAGACCACCCCACAAAGACAATTTCGATCTTTTCAGAAGTCTGCTTTCGTCTCATGACTTCTTCATGTGTCTCACTGAAAGAATTTCCATAATCGCTAGAAATATGCACAATATAGGTCTTGAGCTATTTCACTACTCTACAAGAGTCACATGTTTTTCTAATAATAATTCCAGTCAATTGAGTAATTACTAAATAAAAACGATTTAAACATAAAATCTGTTCGTGATCAAAAACCATTTCGTTTTTGACGGTCGAATTTATTTCCATTTTTAGCTGAGTTTAACGGCTTTTTATGTTTCGCCCCGTTGATGTTCGCAGCATGATTCGAAATTCTAAAGCAAGCCAATTGCTAGTTTCGTTTCAAATTTAAAAGTTTCAAAATAAATTAATTTCGGAAGGTCGAGTGATGCTTTCCGTTGACCGACCGAAAAAGTCCAATTTATTTCGATTGTTCTGTGGATTACAATTTCGATCGGTTTTGGATAATTTCCGAATCGAAATAAATGTATTCCGCTATTGCGTTTAGTTTGTCGTTAACGCGGCAACCATAAGCAAGTTTTACGGTCGTTTAAAAATACTTTGGAATGATCATAAAAGTCATAATAAGTGTCTTTTCCACAATTCGCGTAGTATAAAAACGCACTAAACAAAGCCGGATAGTTTTTAGCAAGTTTAGTGTGCTCAGGCGTCAATAAAGTTGTAAAGTAGACCGTCGGGACGGTAAAGCTGGGCTAAATCTTCCCCCTAAAGTCGCAGCTATACATTTATAACAAATATTAACGGCCCATACATTTTACGTCGTCTATTCGAACGACGAAATGACGTGAATTGACTACGACGAATTTATTGACGTTTGCGTTGTTTCTAGAAGACGATATCTTCCACTGTCAAGATTATTCTTATACAGGATGTCCGTCCAGGATGCGTATCGATTTAGTTATACAGTTCAGTTATTTTTAGAATAGAATTTTCTTTTAAAAACCTATTGCTTCTTGACAGCTTAATTAACGGACCTAAGGAAGGGGGATAAACATGGTCCCGGATTGCCATATTGGTAATAAATTTCTATAGATTTTCAAATTTTTCGTGCCGGTTGAACAAGCTGACTTCAGAGTTAAAAGGAGTTACAATTGCCAGGTACTTTCATATTGAAAGGGACTTTGAAGAGAGCAAAAAATCAATAGCCGTATTTATTGACCTGCCAGCTGCATACGTTATAGTGTGGAGATAAGGAATGCTGCTGAAATTCGTTATGATGATACTGTGAGGTTTATATCGGGAACCATCATGTAA